AGGGGCTTATTCCCACTATTACTGAGGAGTAACTCCCACTACACTCAACAGATCATACTTTTCCCTGTTTTAGATGGGATTGCACTCCCTCTCTAAAAGATCAGGTTTAGTCTAGGAGTCACAGGTATGTCACCTCTGTGACCGAAGGCTGGGTTTGTTCCCTTGGCACAAAGCAGCTGTTAGCAGCTGAGGCAGTGGTCAGATGCAGCCCTTCCTGTCAGGAAATAACCTCCTCATACTCATCCACATTCTCACATTCCCAAAATTAGAATGCTGCGGTATGTCGCAGGTGGGGCTGCCTTTGAACATTTATTAGAAAACTTAGTTGAAAATACAGCAATCAGGTTACTGACTAGGATTAATTCATGGAAATGTTTTTTGCCAATTTTGAAATTGGCAGTATGGTGTAATGGTAGAGAGCACAAGACTGGGACCCAGGAGATCTGGGTTCTAGTCCCTGGTCAGTCATGGAGCCAACTGGGTGACACTGGACCAGTCACAGCACTTCAGTCCATCCTACCTTGCAGGGTTGTTGTTATGGGGATAAGATTGAGAGCAGGAGAATTATGTAAGTCATTCTGAGTTCTTAAGAGAAAAAGATAGGTATAACTATAATAAGTTAATTAATTAATGACACTGCCTTCAAGATCATTTCCAAGTGAAAATGTGTTTAAAGACCTTGGCATTAAAGAACCAATGCCAAGTTCTCAAACATGAACCTGTTCCTGTACTAAGGTCACAGATGGATGTTATCCTCCAGGTGCACTCACCTCCCGAAGTTCAGGGAGGTTGCAACCAAAGAGCTCTTCAGCTGTAGTGCTCAGGAAAGCTCACCTAATATGCAGCCTTCTATCCTTCCAGAGCCAAACAAAGATCTTTTGATTATCATTGGCCTTTTAAAATCTATTGGCTTTCCTTTTATACTGTGATGCCTTTGTGCTTTTATTGGTTTTACTGTATCTCAAACTTTTATATGTCTGCTTTTTAAATTATTGTTTTTATTATTATTTTTAGTGTTTGCTGCCCTTATGAAAATATTGCAGAGGAATGCATTTATTTATTGTACAGCTATTCCTCTTTTTACTGCCGGTGAACCAGCATAGTGCCATGAAAATTTGTTTCACCTTAAATGACAAATATTTATATTACTATTCCTATATTCAAATATTAAAGATGCTATATTTCTACATGAAAAAGAAACTGTTCTTGAAACGCTTGCAATGAATTTATTTATCCCATCTGTGCCATTCCCCTTCCCCAAGAAGCTTAGAGCCAAGCAGCTGACAGTGTGATGTAAACATGCCCACCCCTGATTAAGATGCCAAGTACAGTGTGGTGCTCTGGAAGAGGGCTTAGCCTGTCCACACATTTTCCTGAAATCCCAGCAGACTCTTATGTGCTCAGTTTGGGGCCCCTCATTGCAGAAAGGATATAGCCAGGTTAGAGTCAGTGCAGCGAAGGGCCACAAGGTCGGTGGCCGGATTGCAGATCCCTCCCCTGCTGGGATCTCCACGGATTCCAAGGGAATGTTGGAAAGGAAAAGAAAGGTGAGGGGAAAGTTTAACCCTACCACTGGGTTAGGGTTAAACCCAGGGCCATGCACACATTGAGACAATGGGCAGAACACCATTGTCTCAATGTGAATCAGGGCCATGCACACCTATACCAAGAGCAAAATTATTGCACTGGGCATAGTTACCCCATGTGTAATTACCTGAACTTTTAGTCTGGCCCACCAAGTGGTGAACAGGAAACTGTTTTATTTTAGGCTTACAGCAGCTCCATGGAATAAAGCAGGCTGAGGAAAAACCAAATTACCCATAATATTCACGAATCACTGGAAGATGCCAGGGTTCAGACATGACAACTGTAGGCATGATATATAAATACAGAATGCTTACTTTGGAACCTGTTTCTAGTAGTGCTGAAGCAGGTTTATATTGGTGGGTACTGTTATTTTTAAAATGTTATTGATTTTTTTAATTGGTCTGCTTTTCTGCTTTAATTAGAATGTTTTCTTTTATCTTGCATTTTATTGCTATTAACAGTCATGAACATTTTGTAGTGGGAAGGCAGATATAAATTTAAAAATAAACAGGCACAAAAGACACTAGTGCACAGAATATATAGACACACACTAACACAGAAAATGCTTGCCTGTTGAAAAAAAATCCTTCTATCAAAGCTTTACTTTCCAAAATGTCATTAATACTCACAAACCAGTGTCAGGAAAATGTTACCAAATAAGCCTACTGTGACAAGTTATAGTTTTGCTAGCTACTTCCGAGTTGACTCTAATTTGGCTAATGAGACTCTTATGCACAAGAGTCAACTACTAATTATATAATGTCATTCACAAAGAGAGAAATGGCTCTTATGCTAAAGAAAGGAACTCATTATTATTGGTCCTTTATGCCATCTGCCCCAGGGGAAGGAAGCACAGCATGCCTTCATCAAAACACACCCAGTAAAGTACACCTTTTAAATGACCACCAGTAAAGAATGCAGTAGCGGATAGATTTTCTACTTATTTGCCTCCAGAAGTTCAGAAAATTCACATTTAAATTCCTAAGCAGTGCCCATTCACTGCATCCCTAAATGCCAGGTGATGGCATCAATAGTGAAGTCACCATACAGAAAGGAAGCAGAAGGGGAAAAAAGGAAGCCCTGCAAATTATCACCATAGAGAGAGGGGGAATGAAAGAGGAGAGAGGGAGGCCTCAAAAGCATGCCTTCCTACCCTGCCCATCCGGAGAGGGAAATCTCTCTAGCATTTCCTTGCTGCAAAGAGGTGGCACTGGTGAGTTTGGGCTGAGCAGGGGATAATGAGATTCACAGTGTTTCCACTTTCACAGGGGTCCTGCACCCCTAACCCCTGCAAACATAGAGGAGTGAATATGGCTTACATAGGAATGGCTTACATACAAATTCGACTTACGGATGAATTTCTGACTTCTCAGAAATGTGCCCTGTATTCCTACTCAGAGTGGCAACAAGCCTTCCACGTTTTCTTACAGACTTCTGAGAATGCTCACCCCATGCTGGGCTGTTTGGGGGTTCTGTTCCACAGTGGAAATCCCCCCCCCCCCCGCAAAGATTTCATGTACCACTGCAAAACTTGAGATTCTCTCAAACCTTCTGATACCTCCTTCTTGAAAATGGATGGTGCCATTTCGGCTACCTAGGGATCTAGTATTGGGATCCAGTTACCTAGGGAATCCCACTCACTAATGGTAATAACTGTGTCCCGTATTTACTACAGACAGTTACTGCAGGGGAAAATTTCTTAATTTGACCACCCAATTTTGAGGATAGAAAAGCAAGGTTTAAATTGCTCGATATCCTCCTCTAAGAGAAGACAATTTATTGACAACCAAAATAAGGAATACGTTGTTTTTCAGGCAAATTTTGTGGTTTTCTAATGATACAAAAAGACTGAATGTCCTCTATGAACATCCCTCTTTCTAATGTGCTTAATGCCTCCTGCCACTGCAATACGCTACAGCACAGAAATACTTAATACACAGATTTATACCACAATCCTATGCATGTTTACTCTGCAGTTAAGTCCCATTTAGTTAATGAGGCTTTCTCCCAGGTTAAGAATGCACAGTATTGCAGCATACATTGCAATCATAATACTTGCAAGAGAGCCACCCCCACTGATCACAGAGGGAATTAAGGATAACCTAGTGTTACCTGTTTCTTCCTGATAGTGTAACAAATAAAATAGAATTGAAAAATGTCTTAAACCAGGGAAAATTGGAATTGGTATCATGGAAAGATTACTAAGAGGTGGAAATGAAACAATAAACAAATCATACTGTTATAGGGAACAGGGGAAATCAATTATATTTAGTTGTAATGATTTCAAAATCCATAAAATATTTAATACATCTAGGCAACAATGAAAAGTTGCTGAAGAAAGATAACTAAACCATTTGAAACATATTAAAGCTACCCTTCCTTGACAGAATATCAGGATATAAGATTTCAGTTCTACCTCAGCCAAACATCTTGTTCCAATCATTACCAATTAGAATTGAGGAGAGAATAATAGCAATAAGATAAAACAAAGCTCACATGGAACCAAAACAAGCAAGCAAAGCATGGCTAAAGGCATTGGCTTGGATTCTAAGTTAAGGAACAATCCTGTGCATATTTCAATGGGAAAAAGTCCTACAATTCCCATCACTCCCTAACCAGAAAGACTGGCTAAAGCATGTTGGCAGCTGTAGAAATCTTTTCTGTCTAACAAGCATAGGACTGTATCTTTATCAAAGTTAACAGAAAGTTTCCTCCACCACCCTGGCAGCCACTAGCTCTCTACCCCCAAACTCTTCTCAGAGGTCTAAAAGAACCTCCTAAAACATGTCCCATGAAATAAGGCTGATGTGGACATCAACCAAAGCTGGACAGGGTTATGTCCAATTTAGGGTGACTTGTCCATCCCCAACACCCCTCCTAAGTCTCATCCCACATTATTCAGTGGAGAGACTTACAGAAAAGAACATGTTGCTCCAGTTTAGAAGACGGTACAGGAAATTTTCCTGCCATGAGCTTCCTTACACTGACTCACCTTAAGTCAAGCTGTAAATCTTACAGGATTAAACAGAAAGGGCAGTTTATCAAATCATGAATTATACTAGCATTTTATTGAACAGATAGCAATATGGATAAACTAACAGAAAAAAAGAATATAACAAAGCTGCTGTTGACCAAAGCTATGCAGATACAAAGCTTGCAACAGTACTATGAAGGAAGCTAGACCAAATAAGAATAATAATATCTGTTTGATAACATTCATACCCATATCCAGTTGATTATACAAATAGTATTTATTTTTGATGTGCAGTACCACAATTTGTAATGTGCATTCCAGCAAAAACAATAGAATGGATAACATGTACATCTGTGCATGGACATTCATACACACATAGTTGCTCAACCGAAGCCGCAGAAATGCTACAGATTGTTTCGAAATAAAACAGTCAACTTACTTGCATGTTTGTCTGCAAGCATGATAAGACTATTAGAGATGTCTCGCCGTCTGTAAAAGCACACAACCTTTGCTTCCACATTACCATTGGCAGTCTGAAAAACAGTAAGATGAACAAATTGCTTAATTAAACATGCACATGTCAGAAAATTGCACAGATGCCAGCAAAACTTTGCTACCAAAAGTAGAACTGCTTGTTTCCCCACAAAGCTAATTTTCTTTTCCCATGGGTGGTAAATTATTGGCCTTTACTTCCCATTTTCCTAATCAACATCATACTGACAGCTCTGTGCCTCTTAAGTTTTTGTGTTCTCTTTCCTGATCGTTCGGATTGCAGCAGTTCTATTGCAGCCTGCCATGGGTCTTGAACAGGTGACTATGGGAGTTGTCATATCCAAGCCTATATATGAATTTCAAGGTCACATAAAAAGAGGTGAAAATCAGAGGTCCCCAAATTCTGCAAATCAGCTTCGAATTCCTAGCTTACCCATTCTCTGCTATCCAGCACCCTTTCCCATTAAGTAATCCTTACATTTTCTGGCAAAGTGGTACATGTTGATGTACAGTCCCAAATGCAACACTTCCAAGCAAAGGTTAAAATTGCAGGCCACTGTGTTGATCCATATTAACAAATCAATGGCAGTAGATTTACCTCCATCAGAGTAGACCTTTTGTAATGCTTATAGAACTTAATTGCCCATTTAAGATCTGAGCACCCTGAATTAATTTGCATTGCAACTGGAACAATATAATGTTGGAAAATTCATTCAAATATGGCTGGAGGGAGGGTATCGGAAGTATGCCTACTTATTTCCCAGTTTGGGAAAAAATAGCTTGGTTTATTTCCCAGCTAAGACAACACAACATGGGATGTCCATTTGCAACCTCTAAGCCTCTGCCAATTTCCATTTCATAACTGCATTAGTTACAACAAATAGACATCAATTGCAAATACAATGTTACACAAGTTTGGCAGTTTCAACATTATAGTTAATACTTGATTGTTCCTAGCAAGTATGTGACAGAATGTATATCAGAGAAATACATACATGCTCCACTGTGAAACTGAACAGATAGATAGCAATAAAAAAGCTGAAGGAACCCCAAGCACTTTGATGGAAGAGTTGAACTCTGTTAAAACATGAAGGCACAGTTCTTTGGGGTAAAATTAATTAGCATGTCAACACCTTGCAATAACTTTGGTTTTTTTCCTAAATAAAATATTCTGATACATAAAACATGTAATCACATCAAATGTGCTTTAATTCCCACCATCACCATATGTTTCAGGCAAAATAGATTTGACACCAAAAAATTAACGGGAGCTACACTGTGTATTAAATGCAAGCAAAAGAAACTTGCTGTGTTAGATCAACTTCAAAAACGCCTGAAAATTTTCTGACGCAAACTGAATTTGTTTCCAGTGCAAAAGCCTGCATGTAAATTAGCCTAATTTGCCTAAGAAAAAATCTGGAAAATCCACATCACTGCCAAGAGGAGGTGACACCATTAGGCACAGAGCCAGAACACACTTGCCTAAGGCACCCAATCAGAGGTCGCTGATGCCACCCACCAAAATCCTATATTCCATGTTGACTGTCCTCCTTGCCTAAGACATCCTCCTCCTTGCCTAAGACATCACAGCAAGTGTCTCCAATGTAGTGCCTGAAGGCTTTTAAGACTTTTCAAAATAGATGCATGCATTTACACAACATGTGTACAACCTTCCAGCACTTATGCATAGGCCTCAACAAACACAAACCCAAATATGTAATAAATATCCACATCTATATGTCACCCATTTGTATATCAAAAATATTGTAAGGTTCTCAATCCATTAATTACAGCAGCTGAGTTTTCAAACTTCCAGTTTTGCATTATTAGTCTTTTAGCTCTCAAAAGGCTGCAGAGAATCCATTTCCCCCTCCATTTCCATGAAGCAGCTAAGTGATTTAAAAGAGCATGTGAATCAATGACTACTAAAGACTGTTCCAGTATAAAAATTACCGATTGAATAACCTCCTCCAAAAGAAAAGCAACTACCAGCCACTGTTAAACCATGCATATTAAAAAGTATTTTTTAATCAGCTGAAACAGACAATTCATAATTAAAAAGATGCTGCAATGTCCAATGGACAACAAACAAGCCTATGTTTTGTTATGGTGGCTAACTCAATGAAAACATTTAACCCAGTGTGCTGTTAGTATGAAAAGGAAACTCCATGCAAGGCATACATAGGAAAGGAATTAAAATAAAACTGCCAATATCATATTCCCCTTAAATGACTCTATAGTAAAACCACAATTAGTTGTACAATTCCAGTCATGCCACCTAAAAAAGAATATGATAGAGTTGGAAAAAGTTCAGAGAAGGGCAACTAAGACCGTCAAGGGACTTAAACAACTCCCCATGGGGAAAGATTACAACATCTAGGACAGTTTAGCTTGGAAAAAAAGGCAAGGGGTGACATGCCAAAAATGTACAAAATTATGAATGGTGTGGAGAAATGGGGGAATGTATTCTCTCTCTGTCTCTCTCTCTGTCTCTCTCTCTCTCTCTCTCATCATACTAGAACCTGGGGTCTTCCCATGAAACTAATGGGAGATTCAGGACTGAAAATAGGAAGCATTTCTTCATGCTGCACAGAGTTAGACTATGGGATTCCCTTCCACTTCCACAAGAAGTCATGACAGCCACAAATCTGGACAGTTTTTAAAAGAGACTTGACAAAATTTGGGGAGAAAAAGCCTATCAATGGCTACTAAACCAGATGGCCATCTGGTACCTCCAATATCAGAGGCAGCATGTTATGCACACCAACTGCTAGACAACCTGGGCAAGACAGTACTGTTGCACTGATGTCCTGCTTGTGGGTTTTCCATGGACACAGTTGGCCACTGTGTGAACAGAATGCTGAACTAGATGGATGTTGGCCTGATCCAGCAGGGCTCTTCTTTATGAGTTTATGTTCTTTTTCATAAATAAGATACAGCCTAAGATCCAGTTATGAAATTTAACTGTCAAAGCAGCCATCAGCCAGTGAGACATTTAATCATAGTGCCTCCAACACTGACCAAATGTGGTAGCACCCAAATTTGCTCACCAGACCAAAAGGATTAGACCCCTGAACTAGAGGACTTTCACACTACGTCCAATTGAGGGATCCAAGCTAGCACAGAGATTGGTGTTGGACTGGGTCTTAGGAGCACCTGCTTCCAGTCCCCGCTCAGTCACAACGCTGACTGGGTGATTCTGTGCAAGTCACTGACTCTCAGCTTAATGTACCTCAGAGGATTTTTGTTTGGATAAAATGAACAGCAGAAAGATTGTATAAACTACCTTGGGTTTTTTGCTGGAAAAAGGTGGGATACACACACATAAATAAATAATCACAGCCTTTCTTCGCCCCAACTTCCTGTCTTACTGCCCATCCTTTACTAGCTCTCTCCATAGCAATCCAGCTGTTGCTTTCCATTGGATGCTACTGTCTACTCTGTCCATATATCTCCAAATTTTTCCCAGCTGGCTTTATCATGCTTCCATAAACTGGCAGTGGCCTATAAAGAATTATACAAGTCTAAAAGCACATCAAAGCCAAATGATCTACTAGAGATATGGTCTTATTTTTCAGTTCTTGCACATATTAAGGTATATTTCATTTTCTAAATTCATAAAGCATCACAATGAAGGAGCTTCATGGCATATCTCACACAAGAAGGGAAATGCCTTATTTTAGAAATGAATTATACCGTTTTTCATTCCTCTACAAAATGCAATAGCTCTTCTGTCAAATAGCACAAAAGAATTACATGTCCATATACCTTATTGAGTTCTTCTATTCGCCGGATTAGATATGGATTGCTTGAAGAATTTTCAAAATAGACATAATCTGCAACAAAAAAGTGAGAATATATTTAAAGTTCTTCAGAGATCATTCTTAAATCCAAGCACATTGATATTATTTCTATTATCAACAGAATATGTGGCCTTAGTATAGTGTAGACCTATACAACTCATGCATAAATTCTCTTCCACATCTCCCAAGATTAACCAAGGAGATTTGTGCTAATGAGTCTCTCCTGCAAAGATTTATACATTGGCTTAAATATTGCCCAGCAGGAGATACATATATTGAACCAATCCTCAAAGGATTACTTTTGTGCAACTGACAATTGGCTAGTGCTAGCAAAGTTGACACCTAAAATTTTTACCCAGATGGAAACTTGGAAGGTCTTTGGCTAGCCTACCCATTGCAGCAGAAAGTGAGCAATTTCAAAATACAGGATTAAAAGAGATAGTTAACATTTATCAGGTATTAACCTTCCATAGCTTCTTCTATTCAGTAATACCTTTTGGCATATTAATACAATGCAACACTCTTTTCCCATATACTGTAGCTCTTTCACAGTCAAGAGGATTTCAATTGGCCATTCAATTCAACATGACTTAATTGGGACTCCAACGGCACCCATAATTAGGTTTACTTTGCAAGAGCCCCAAAACTACAGCCTATGCTGATCCCATACACAGCTTCTCACCCAAAATTATACCAGAAAGCTGTGGGATCTAACCCATTACACCCCAGGAGAGGAATTATGTTGTGTTGATTTAAATACCAAAGCTGATGTTCCATAGAAAGAAGAGCTTGAAAGAAATCAGACACTGACATGTATGCAAGAAGCAGACGTGACTAAAATGGAAAGGGATGTCCTAGAATTACAAGCAAGGACTTGATGGGATTTATTTTTTACTAAACATATACACTAGAGAACCTCACATTTGGCAGCTTAACCTTGGTGGTCATCTAGTTCAACAACTCCCCATCCCTACCCTGCTGCTCAGCACAGGAATAGCAACGGTGAAACACCATCACTGTAGATGCCCAGATTCGGCTTAATTATCTTCAGTGATGGTGAGCCAACCATCTCCCAAGGCAGTCTGTTCTAGGGCCAATCTTATAGTTAGGATGCATTCTCCATGGGCACATTTGGAAATCTGAGATAGTGTTGTGGGAACACCACAAAATGGCTCCTCAGGAGGATATGGATAATCACATAATGGATGCTGTGAGGACCTGGTAGGGAATGGGAGGTGGTGCTGTGAAAAACATTGAGGGTAGAAGCTGGGAGGGAGGGAGAAATAACAAAGCACAATTGTACAGGGGAGCTAAAGAGCAAGGTAAGAGACTGGGAAGGATGGGAAAACAACGCAAAGGAGTGGAGTAGAGAGAAAGAGTTAGGATGGAAATGGAAAAAATGGAAACTCCTTGTTTTTCAAGATTTTTTCCAAACACTTTTTTGAAAGGGGGTAGGAGTGGGGAAAATTGTGGGTTCCATAAGAAGTCCTCAGGCTGGAGACATTTATTTAGCCAAAATCTGCCTTCCTGTGATTTTCATCCACTGGGTCTCGTCCTGCATTCTGGAGTACCAGAAAACAAGTCTATGCCATCCTCCGGCATAACAGCCATCCAGATGTTCATAGTATATTCCTTCTTAACCTTCTATTCTCTAAACTAAACATACCCAACTCTTTTAACATCTCCATACAGGATTTGGCTTGCAGATTCAACATCTTGTTGACCTCGTCCAAATCCATTCCTTTTAATCAATGTCTTATTAATACAACCAAAGCTAAAATTCAAATGTTCAGTGGAACATTGTCCACTAGAGAAACACAACTCTCAATTATTGGTAAGAGCCTGCATCTCCTTTATTTATTTATTAAACCTTTATATTTAATATCAGCAACAGCAGAGAAGAATACCAAGCAGCAGTGCAGAATGAAGAGCCAAAACAAGTTCCTTAATCATCATGACTCATACAAAATGTGAAGAAGCAAGTAGGTTTTGCAGTGCTAATGCAAGCGATTTTCTACACTTTCCAACCATTACAACAAGGAAGTTTGTGGCTAGGCTGAGATCAGAGCCATGATCCTCTGATAAAGTTTTGCCATTCATATTCTTAAATTCCATGCTATACAAGATTATTGTTGATAAGAGGAAACCCCAACTTAATAAATTCTTAGATGCTGTACAAAGCAATCCCACTGGTAGGGATGCAGAGATCTGAAGGCAGCAGAACTGTTCCATCCAGAGCTTTTCCAGGCTTGTGCTGGAAGGATGAAAGGGAGAGAAGACCAACATTTTTCTTCCTTTCCCTTCCAGAGTTGGGGATGATGTGATTTCTCTTTCATACCAATAGAAGTGAAATGATGTCCACCACCTCCAGGCCTGGCATACATTTCTCCCCATGTCCAAGAGACACGTCTAGACGGCAGGATGATCAGCATTGCTGCTCCCTTTTAAATTCTACCAACATCAGAACCCCAGTGTTGGAATTCAGACATCAGAGAAAAAAGAGCCACAGACGTTTCCATCCACACTGGGAGTGGGCCTCTAAGGTTAGATCTTTCCCTTTGAGGCTAAGTCTCACTTGACAGCCTTGGAAGAGTTCTGCACAGGGACAGGTTAGAGCTCAGTGGAAGGTCCCAATTTTGATCCCAAAAAGGGTTTTGAAGAGCTGTTACCAGTCCATGTTTAGCAAAAATGAGCTACAAAGACCTATGATCTGACTCAGTTTACAGCACAAGCCTATTCTAGGGCCCCTGCTGCTCAAATTCTATGAGTCTTAATTAAGTGATGTATTAATCAACTGGAGGCGCAATCCAATTCAATGTGAGACAGAAAAAAGGTCTATAACTCCCAGCATGCCTCAGCTAGCTACAAGGCATGCTGGGAAATGTAAGATATTTTTCTTTGTGAACTTGCAAAAGATTGCACCCTAATTTGTTTCCATGTGAGTAAAAGCCATACTTCTCAAGCAAGAAATCAACTTTCTTTGTTTTTGTAGATGATATTTGCATGTGCTGAACTTGGTATCAAGTTATAAGTAACATTTGTCTTGTTTGCCATGAGAAATTGGGGGACCTGGCCCTTCAATATGATACTGACCACTTGCAGTTGTATTAAAAATAACATTTTGTGAAACAAAGGAGAAAAGCGAAGTAAAGCAGCTGCTGCATAATTAACACGGACTAGCTGAAGAAAAGATATTTATAGTGGTACCTTGGCTCATGAACTTAATCCGTTCGACTCTGTTCGTGACCCAAATTGGTTGTGAGTCAAGTCAAATTTCCCCATAAGGTTCAATGTAAATAAGGTTAATTCATTCTGTAAATATTTGTAAATGTTTTTTTTTAATCACAAGGAAGACGGGGGAGGAGACGGGTGCAATCGCAGTCATCTCCCCCTCTGAGCACAACCTTGATCGCGCCTTTGCAGGGAAGATGGGAGCAATCGCAATCATCACCCGCTGTGGAGTTCAAGACCTGAGGAAAATGTTTTCCTAAATTTCTGTTCGCGACCCAATTTGGTAATGAACTGAGGGATTCATGAGCCGAGGTACCGCTGTATTTTAAAACAACAATTTTAAAACATTGCAGAAGGAAATGAAGAGGAAGTAAAATGAACTAATCAATCTCTGGACAGCAGACACTCTCCACACCTGTTTTACTTGCACTGCTTCTCTAACTGCACCCATTTCTGCATTCATAAAAAAGCATTTTCAGAAACACTGAACTGAGTGGTCCTTAATGATACATTCATTTCCTAAATGGACACTGCAATCTTTTAAGTGTTCATTTAGAAGTCACACAGGGTTAAATGGGGGTTACTCCTAGTACAAGACAGCAACTTTAAATTCATTTCATTGAATGAACAGAATATCCCCTTTTTGGGAGTATAGGCAACATGAAGACTGAAGAAAGTTAAAAAGCAATTGCCATTTCAGGTTTATGAGATAAAGCAGGGAACTAACTTTAGAAGAAGGAAACAAATATATTGGCCACAGAACATGGCTATTCATTAGCGAGACGCTCCAAATTAAACCAGTCATGGCTCCAGTTCCTTGCTGCTGCTGGCAAGGAAGAGAGAGGTTTAACTTGCCAACTGCTTAAAGAAAGGTACCCCTGTGCCACAGGCAAGCAGTTAATTGGCCAGTTTCTCACCTCTTTCCATTTTAGTATCCACCTTTTCTTGCAGAAGCTTGTGGTATGACAGTGGCTCTCTTAGCACTTGTAAAGATGAAAAGTGAAACTAGAGTGATGAAGTGAGGCTTTTTTAATACAGCTAGGCTGTAAAGGAAGGGGAAAGAGTTTCCTTTAACTGAGCTTTCCCTGAGCTGAAAAGAGCCTTACAGCACCATTGCAACTACCTGTCCAGTCTCTCCTGGCCAATTATTACAGGTCAGAAGAAGCAACTGAAGTAATGCCATGGTACTGGGGGAACAGGAAGTGCAAAACCTTTCTCAGTTCATCCTAAGCTAAGAACTGAGGAAGGGAGACAGGGATTCAACTAAAGTAACCTAATGTATCTACAACTAAGGTAGGATGTGGCTCAGAATTAAATGTCCCATTCCATGGGGCCAAATACAAATTGTAAAGATTTGTGGACTCACTAATAAAGCAGTTTTCTGAGATGCAGAAATAAGAAAGACTTAATATAAATGTACTGGGGACTCTACAACGCTTGTCAAAAGTCAGGCTCAAGGATAATTCAAATAAGCACAAATAACACACTGTACTTTCTTGGACTGGAGCATTTTAGACAGTAGATGGGGGAAAATATGTATCAGAAAACACTCACAACAACATTTTCATTTCATGTGCAGGTCAGGACTTCCACTACAGAGTAAAAGAAATGCAATTGCCTGCATGCTGCTTGAAGTAGCAATGTCCAGTAACGGGACTGCACCATGCACTGTTTTTGCAGAGTTCAATCAATTGTATGGGAACAAGAAAAGAGAAGGTGTGAAAAACATGTATCTAAGTATGCTTGGAGTAGAAAACACAAAAGCAGAGAAGACAATGGGGACAGAGACTAGCTGTGGTGAGTTTAGGAAAATGGATGCTGACTGCTGCCAGAAATTTCTCCAAGTTAGACCACTGGTAACTCCTAAACCTATGCTACTTCATCTTTCCAAGCCTAAGGACCAAGTATTCTTACATAAAGACCTTATTGAGCAATTGTACAAAGCTGCAAAGTTGAGTATGGTATGTCTCCAAAGCAACCAAGAAACCAGCAGCCAGTAAAATTTGGGTGACTATGACTAAGTATACAATTATGCAGTGTACAGCAAGCAGGGAATCCTAACTCTAAGAAAAATATTATGGCATCCTGATTTCCATTTATTTCCTCTGTCAAAGCCCTTCAAACTTTTGCTCAAATTACAATTATTATTATTATTATTAGAACATTTCTATGCCGCCCCTTGCCGAAGCCTCGGGGCGGCTTACAAACACAATAAAATACAATAAAATACAAAAATAACAATATAAAATTAAAATTAACAATATAAAATAAATAAAAATATAAAATATAAAAGAAGTCGCCCTGGCCAGATAAATAAGCAAATACTGTTAACAATTACAGTGACATTTAAATAAAAAGGTCTTCACCTGGTGCCAAAAAACAAGTAACGACGGCGCCAGGTGGACCTCTCTGGGGAGTGCATTCCAAAGATTGGGCACCACTGCAGAGAAAGCCCTCCTCCGAGTACTTTGCCTATATAAACCTGAGTGTCGGCTCTACCATTTCAGGGCAGATGGAGTTGCTCCTTTTCACTACGCTAGCAGTACCAAAATATTTATCTATGTCTTCTCTCACAGTACTTGCCTCCTGCACACAGAGAACCAACATGCTGGACAGAAGGGGCTACTCTAGCTTTCTTCCTGACATGTTTGCCTTCTATGCATAGGAATATTTTCTGTGGGGAGTGGGACATTCCAGCATATGAGACATAACATACAATATGAATGTGCTATTGCTTTATCTGCCATTTGCAAATAGCAGGCCCTAATGTTTCCACAAGATTACAGTTTGTCCACATTATTGTGTATATAGCTGTGACAGTGAAAATGGTATTCCTGTGTTAAGTGGCCATTTCAGACTGGAGTCTCATGCATGTATACCCAAAGAACCAATTGCATTAGAAAAAAAAAACATGCTTCTGTTTTCTATGAATCAGAACTTATAAACAGAGAGTCCACCTATTTCACCCTCTGTAGTAGTAGAACATTTCAGGATGGGACCAGAAATCCACCTGGCCCAACATCCAGATGCTTCCAGGAATCAAGAAGAGAGTCCTCACCAATGTTCGCCTCCCAGCACCCGATAGTCAAGGTACAGTACAGACAACATAACCTACACCTGAATATAGGTTTGGTGTGGGTTTTTGTTGAAATATGAGTTGTTCTTGAAATGTGGGTTGCCATGTTGTCTGAACTTAGACATGAAGAGAAACCATGGTTTGTTTGGTTGTTCCCCATGTGTTGCAGGGTTCAGACAACACAACCCCCATTTCAACATCAGCCCACACTCAATATCCAACCCGAGTGTGGGTTGCTATCTTATCTAAACTTGGCCACTATCTCAGAATACAAGATTTTCCATTTAGCTATTGTGGCTAAAACCAGGTTCTAAACCCAGCTTTCTAGAATGCTAAACCTTTTAAAACTCTTCATCACATCCTGTGGCCACGAATTCCACAGGTTAACAGTGCCCTGTATGAAATCAGCGGTTCCTACAGCCAAGTACAATTCCAGTTTTGGTACAAGGAAAGGGAACTCCTCCCTCTATGTACCTTCCATCCCAAATTTTGAATACTCCCCCTTCGAGAAGCTTTATTTTTCTTTCATTTTTAAGGGACCATAGTCATATACCTCTATTTACTTGGGGAAAACCCCCACTAGCCTCCATGGGTCGTGCATCACTGTGCATAGGTGTGCACTGCTGGACCGCAATCCTGTGCACACTGAAAGAGTGCGCGCATCCGAACATGGTGGCATCCGCTTCGCTTGCCCGCGTATTCATGTCATTGCGCCTTTCTTCCCCCGCTGGGTGCACTGAGAGGGTCTTCCATGCCAGAAATGCAGGGAAAGCTTTCCAGCCAGAAGTGATCGCGGAAGCTCGCTCCGCACCTTCCTCCCACCCGCAAATATATTAAGCTCTGGTGTGGGGGAGGCCGAGCCGGCTGTGCAGGGAAGCTGCAGAGACTGCGGCCCCCGTGCACCCGGGTTGCCTTCGGTTCTGCGGAGGGGAAGGGGGGGGGCTTCTCCCTCTCATCACTGCCTCCTCGTCCTCCTCCTTTCTGGCAAGGTGGGTTGTGGCCTCCTCCGTCAGGACCCCTCGTCGGAAGGAATCAGGAGGCCGGGTTCCCTGCGGGGGGCGGGTGCTGCGCCAGGCTCGTCGGCTTCCGAGGCAGCACGCCCCTTTGCTCTTTTTTCCCCCACCCGGCCAAGGGCCAAGCCGCCCCTCCTTTCCCTCCCAACCATCCCGGCCCGGCGCCCGGCCCTCCTTTCTGGCCCGCAGCCGCAGAGCAGAGCAGAGGGCACTGGTGGGGAGGCGCGCGGTGCGACCCGCGAGAGGCCGCCACCTCACCCCAAATCCGCACGCACACACACACACATGCACACACGCACGCACACACACCCCTACCTCCCACTCGGTACATGTTGGCCGCCATGTCTACGCTCTGCGCCCTCCCTCTTCGTCTGCCGCCGCTGTCGTCGTCGCCGCCAGGCTGGGAAAGGGGAGGAGCGCCCAGTTCTCCTCGCTGCTGCTGCTGCTGTTGCTGTTGCTGCAGCAGCAGCAGCAGCCGCGACTGGCCTTTCTGCCACGCACCCCGGACACAACAGGGAGCCGGGCGGTTCTGGCGCCGCACGGCCAACCCGCCTGTGGGGGAGGGGAGGGGGAGGGGAGGCCAGCTAAGGAAGCCGCAGGATGTGAAGGGTTAAAGCCAAGCATCCGGGCCCGCCTCGCTGGGCCGGGCACTGCGAGCCCCGCCGCCAGAGCGCACGGACGCGCGTCCAGCACCCGGGAGAGGAGGGGTTAACAGCTTTCCTCTCTCGCTCCCCCCATGTGCTCGATCCCCAGGAAAAAAAGGGGGCGGGGAGGGAAATGCGGGAGGGTCAGCCAATGGGTGGGGTGAGCGCGGCGTAGCCGCCACCTCGAGGTGCACTCAGGTGCCGCTCCGGAAAGATGACTTTTCTGTGCGCAGGCGTGCACGGACAGGTAGCCGTGTTACCGGCACGCAAGGTAGCACTCACAGGTGCATACGGTGATTGACAGAACCGGAAAGAGGTGCTGAATATCGTAACTTGTAAAACGAGCGACAGGATAGTTTGGAGATGGCAGGAATCCCAGACTCGCAATTCTTTCTTGGCCATCATTTTCCAGGAAAGCGGCACAACCGATTCCAAATACGCGTAATTGTACGGTATAATAAGGATCACACAGATTTGCACAGCAATCATATTTGCCAGGACCCCACCACAGGCACCATGCAGAGCAGACATATGCAGAGTTCTCATATTTGTCCCCTTGATCCTTATGTATTAGGACGCGCACCCCTCCCTTACTCACTTTGTGGTTTTAGGGCAGCAAACACATAGCACGTGTAAGGCCGGCACTTGTCAGCCAGGCTCTTTCTTCTCTCCATGTTTCTTCCTGTGCGCAGGATTGCCGAGTTCCAGGAACAGAACGGCACTTTGGGCAGCTCTCACAGTCATCGGAGTGGTGGTGGGCTGTCTCATAACGTGGGCACACTGATGTTAATCTGTATGATCTTGTATGTGGGAGAGGTCACATGCAGTTGGTTTGCATGTGGGGGTTAGCCTTTTTACACATATGTACATAGCCATTTGCCAGTTACGGGGACAGTATCCTTTGTAGGGGATGTTAAATTCCAGAAAGGAAGAGGATCTAGCCAAAGGCTCTCTTCATTAGCATTTTAGTGTCCCAGCACCCAGAAATGCTATGCTAATCATGAAAACTATACTGGACAGGTAACAGTCTGGGTGCACTAGTTTACCTGAATAGCTGTAGTAGAGCTATACAGTCAAGAGTGTGCATGGAATTTGGCTTGTTCAGTTGCAACGCCATCCCTGACTCTCCACGATGCCATGGACCAGCATGCCAGGCTCTTCTTTCCTCCACTATCCCCTGGAGCCCACCCAACCCCATGCCCACTGCACCAGTGACTCCATCCAGCCACCTCATCCTCTGCTGTCCCCTTCTTCTTTTGCCTTCAGTCGTTCCCAGGACTGGGTCTTTTCCAGTGCGTCCTTCCTTCTGATTGGGTGGCCAAAGCATTTGAGCTTCAGCTTCAGTATCTGTCCTTCTAGAGAACAGTCAAGGTTGATTTCCTTTAGAATTGCCCTGATCTCTTTGCAGTCCAAGGGACTCTCAGGAATTTTATCGAACACCTAGAGCAGCAATACACACATTTTTACACAGTGAACTGTGTAAAAACTATGTGAGAATTCCATAAGTTTACCTGCCAAAGAAATGGCTGATGGTGGTTTGGGAAGCTTGGTAGATTGAGCATCTTGATCCTGAATGTTTTGATGAGATATTCCACTCAAAACGTCATGTATATTATCCAAATTTATTATCTACTCAAGAATAGGAAGAAGCACAGTTTGGAAAAATGATGAGTAATATTATTTTTAGTAGAACATATTTATCAGACCTTTCAGGCTCAGGTTGCTCTATCTACCAAGCTTCCCAAACAGCTTACACCGAACGACCATTTGCTGTAAATGACAGACTAGGGATGGAACATAGAAAACATCAGGAGAATACAAGCTATGTAAGCTTGATACCAAGTCAAACCCTTAGCTGACTGGCTATCTCAGTCCTGCCTACACCAGGGATAGACAATTTGTAACCCTTTAGATAGTGGTGGACTATATTTTCCATCATCCTTAGTCAGCATACCCAGAGGTGATGGGAGATGGGAATTGTAGTCCAATCACATTTAAAGAGCCACAACTTCCCTACATACTTGGATCTTTCTTGGTTCTACTTGATGTTATCCAAGGTTGGACCTGGGACCTTCTTCATGCCAAGTATAAACGCTAGCACTGAGTTTGGCTCTTCTTTAAAGGAGAGCAGAGTTGGGCAACTAGGAAGTGTTCCACAAAGAGCCTGTAACTCATGGGAAAATAATGGCATATAGTTTCTGATTATGTGACTAAGCTGCACCACATAATGATTGCTTTGCTTCCCCAGATTTCTAGTGGTTGTGGGAGGAAAATACCACTATGTTTAACTTCACAGTCAGAGGCTACGCTCACTCCCACAGTGGAATGCACCATATGACATGCTTTTCTACCAACATAACAGATATGGTTTGATCCTATGTCATGATTTCTCCCACAGACTCCTGGGAGATGTGATAGGACTGAAAAAATGTATGCTGGGGATCCCTAGATCCTCTCAAGAAATGCACCTGAACACCCGAACAACTCTGAAGGCTGGTTGAAAGTATAGCATTGCCTCAGATGCTTACTCATTGATTTCTTGTTGTCTAACCCCATCTTGAAGCTACTGTTTATATTTTCTTCACTCATTATATAGAATGTAATTCCCACAAGGATCCCGATAGAAAAGAAAAATGGGCTGTATTTGACAGTAGGGAACAAAACTGGAGATTAATAACACCCAAACCCTGATTTTTTTCCCCCAATTTGGATAGAAAAAATGTGCTTGTGCCTGAGGGAAAAGAGATTAAAAGGTGAGACCAAATTGCAGTTTCAGTATCAATGATGACAAGACTGAATTATTTACAAGTAAAATGAAGGCAGATTGCTCCTAAGGCATGAATTTTATTATGTGACAAACTTGTCCCTTAATATATTTGACTTTAATTAATGAAAATCATTTCAGAGTGGAATCCCATTCCTATTTAGATGACAAACGTTCTATTGTTTCCAGCATTACCCATTCAACGGTGCTGGCTAAGGAGTCCCAAGTATTGTATGGCTTTTTTCCGCATCTGAATGCATTGGATAATGGGTTAAATAGGATTATGGATGGGAGCTTGACCACAGAGAAAAATTTCTGCTGTTCTGGCTAGGGTGAGCCATTAATGTCCTTTTTACTAAACATTTACTTCCTTGTATCTCCAGGTTAGTTAGATTGATGTCTCAATGGATCTGTTGCAGTGAAATGTAGAATTAAGTGCTTATATAGTGCTTAAAAGTTATAACCACAGATGGAAGCATTTCTTCTCTACAACATGCATTTAATCTAGTCTCATGCTCACCTCCTTTATTTTAAATGAGTATGTGACTATTAGATTAATATTTCTTATAAGCTACTCAGCACTGACTTTCATTTCCTGCTTAATGCAAAATGAGCATTCTAGTCCCAGCTCTAAAACAAATCAATGTGTGAAATTGTAAATGCCACATTTTGTGCCCTTCCGGCTTTGATGAGGTCCAATTTCTACCATATTTAAAGAGATTTCATAGTCTTTTCCAACCGAAAGGAAAGCTTTACTGATTAGGACCAAACTGATATTATTATTATTATTACATTTTTATACTGCCCATAGCCAAAGGTCTCTAGGCAGTTGACAGCAATAATCATAGAATCATACACTCAAGTCTTCCATCCCACTTCTGCACAGGCCTGATCTTGCTTAGCTTCCAAGATTAGGCAGGATCAGGCACTTCAGGCTACATGGAAGCTACACTATGGTCTTCTTTTGCCAGTGAAGTTCATGACCTTAAGTTTATAACTTTCTTAGCCTCAGTTACTTATCTGTAAAACAAACATCAGAAAGAACTCCCTAAAAAGATGGGTTATGCCGGATCACACCAAGGACCTGGTTAGTTCAGGATGCTGTTCCTCCATTAAGTAACCCAGCTTGTGGAAGACCACAAGCAGGACAGGAGCAATAGCACTCATCTAGACCTTCTCCCAGCAACTGGTATACAGGGGGATACTGCTTCTTGTCCTGGAGGTAATGCAGAGTAATCATGACTAGTAGCCATTGATAGACTTATAGACCTCGAGTTAGCCTAGTCAATCCCCTTTTAATCTTCACCCTTGCTCAATTTGAAATCTAGCCCATTTTAAATTTAGTCCCATTTGGGGTCATTTTACAACCCCAGGCAAAAGTGCCTCAGGCAAGGCAAATGCTGCATATGAAAGGCCTTTGTTTCACTAAAAGTTACTTCCAGGATGTTTGAATCAGAGAATAGATTTCTGGTTTCAGCTAGTACAGGTAATTTAAGTAGAGGTTATTTAATTTAATTTTTCCTGCAGGGATGCATGTCACTAATATTTGCATAATGATTGTACCTATTGTTCAATCTACATAACAATAGTTTGGCCTACACAACTCAAATCAGCATAAAAAGGCTTGCCCTCAATGGACTGTAATTCTGTTTGCTGGAGGTTTTAGCTCAAACTCTTGGCTTGCAAAAAAGATTGAGATGACCTTTAGCTAATCTTCTTTACTGCCTTTAGTTTGGACCTTTTGTTAGGAGTCCAAAAGTGCCCCACAAGCCTATTCTTAAGCAAATTTGGGGGATTTTTCTTCCCCATGCAGGATTTGATTGTAAATTAAAAGAAAATTATAAAAGGCAGGAGGTTGAAATTTGTGGCCTTTTTTACTAGACTGAATTTGATAATGCCTTAGAAGAACTCTGTTGAAGGTCAACCTAAGGTGTAACTTATACAACAGAATGTGAGCCTTATCCAAGCATCCCGCAATGCAGGATGAAGCCAGCAAACTAACTTGGTAGCTATCACAGCATCTTGCAG